TTCAATTTATTATTAATTAATAATAGAAATTAGAATAAACTGAAACACATATATATAGATGGATATAAATTTCTTACCGGTCGCAACTAAAAAATGTGGGAGTCAAAAATAATAATAATAATAATAACGTGCACAACACACACACTAGGGCAACCTTGTATCGCGGGTGCCATAGACACATAGACGATCACAAATTACACCCAAACTCATGAGAGCAGTGAATTTAGGCCATACAAATGTTTCTCTCAGCCCGGGAATCGAACCCGGAACCTGTGCGTGGTAGTCCAGCATTGTAACCGTTCGGCCACGGAAGCAGTTAAAATGAACATTGTCCTTTAAATAGTCGTAATTTTGCTGACATTTCTCACTAATAAAGCTAAATTTTACGGAGCATATAACTAAGTTTATGAGCTACAATGACGCTAATATTACATAAAATAAAAACAAAATTTCAATTACATAAATTAAAAGAATAAAGAAACAGGTAAAACGGCATTGAATCAATTATGTTAACCTACTTTGAAGCATAACATGAATACATACATACATGCCTAATTTGTTACAATTGTATACGACTTCTGTAAATTAATTGCTAATTACAAAAAACGCGTGAGTATGAATAAAGGTGTAAGTCTTTATTTCACTAATAAACTTTAAAAATACTTTAAGTTAACTAAAATAATTTTATTGATTTTTTTATAGGGTAGTATTGTTTAATTTAAAAGTACAAGCAGCCTTTTAGTACAACTATTTAGACAACACCACACACGTTGCTCCGATTCCAAAGTAAGTAACTCAAGCACTTGTGTTATGCAAATCGGAAACAAAGACGGTACCACAAACACTTACTTACTTTCTACATTGACGCGACCAGGGATCGAACCCGGGACCTCGGAGATGGTAGCACCATGAAAAACCAGTGTGCAAACTGCTCGACTACAGAGGTCGTATACAAGTGTAATTTTATGGTAACCGACTTCAAAAAAAAGGAGGAGGTTTCCTTGGGAGGAGGCCTCGTCGTTATACCCTCCTATCTTTGCTCCAGGTCAAGGTAGTGGTCAAGACTCAAGAGTAAGTCTATTCAGTTAAAAAAACCATCGAGGTTATAACCAGAAATAGAGACGAAATGTCATTTAATTTGTTTGAAAACTATTCTGCCGTATCATTACTACGACAACTGCGCGCCGATTGGCCAGCCAGAATTCGAAACAATTGACGGGTGTCGTCAACTGTTTCACTTCAAAGCGATCAGTTAACTTGAGCTTTGCTATAATCTACGAAAATTTAAAAATTACATATTTCATATTTAATTACCGATGAAATTTGATTCCGTTTGGTTTGTAATTAGATGTTTTGCTGTTTTTCCCACACCACCGAATAGAACAGCACGCCATTGTTAGAGATATTATCTCTATTACAATAAATACAGAATATTTTTGGACTATACGGAGACGTACACACAGGTCAGTTGTTGGCGCTGTACTATTTCAGCTTTATAATTTGTAATTTCAGTGCAAACGAGAGTTGATATTCATGTGTTGTATCACTGATTAGTTACCAGGATATATGGCCCTTATTTCGTCTCTATTTCTGCTCATATACTCGATGAAAAAACATAGCCTATGTAGAGTATCTTGATGTATAAAAACCATTGACTTACAATTATATGGACGTCGGGTCCACGCTAAAAAGTGTCCGAACTTATAGGGCGTTAAAACCGTATACAGAGCGTCAGTCACGCTTTAGTCTTCGTTTGTTCGACTGACAGCGAAGCAAGCAAAATTAGACAGTACTGCGATGACATTACAATTTAAATTCAACGTTTTAGCTTTTTCATATTCCTTTACATGTCACTTCGTTTAAATAGGTTGACTTGGGACATTTTTTTCGTGGTTTTTGTATTAGACCCGTCGTCCATTTATTTGTAAGTCAATGATAAAAAAAAATTGTATTAGAAATTTACGCCTACTTACTGCAGGACATTTCTTTTTTAATTGTATGCAAAAAAAGGAAGAGGTTTTTAACTCTAACTACTACTCTAAGTAACCGATTTCGACGATTCTTTTTTTATTGGAAAGAGGCTACCTCAGTATTGGCCCCATTTAAATTTCAAGACAAAATTCAACCTCTTAGGATGGCAAATTAGACGATGAATACGGCTTCGCGCACTTTCCGATAATCGATTTCTATAAAACTTGGCAAACAGATGTAATTTCACGAACTTTTGAGGTACATTGGTATTTTTTATATAAAAAAGTTACAATTATTATAATTAAGTTTTATTTGTAATCACGGATTTTAGTGCTTTTATGTATTTCCTCTGATATGTTAAGTATTTAAAACCTAATCTACCTCCTCTCATGCTCTAGCTAAAAACCACCCGGGCTAGACTATGTAGCTAGCCTGCGATTTGCATCTTTTTTTTATGATAGTGACGGATCGAACAAGTCGTGGTAAGCGACACGCCTGTCCGTAACAGTTGCAGTGCCACTCAGAGTTTTAAATCGCAAGGCATATAGCATAAGTTGTTCGTCCCTTCACTTAATATTTAAAAATAAATAAACTTCATTCATTCATTCATTCATTCATTAAAAAAAAAAGATTAATGTACCATCACTGTGATATTTTTAAGATCAAAGAAAGTGATTATGTGTGTAAGTAGTCTCGAGGACGGCTACATCCCTGATATGCGTCTGTGTATACTAAGTATATTATTAGTAATTATTGTCGTAAAATTTGAGACTAGACTAATATTCGTAATTATTAACGAATATTTATTGCGCTGATCACCTTGAACTTATTTTATTGGTCTATTTTTTTCTTTTGCGCATATCTGATTACATTTTCGTGTTATTGTCATAAATATAATATCCACATAATTTACATGTAAAACTCAACATTAATCAAAACCAAAATGGTTTTTTTTTATGATAACAAGTGACGGGAAGTGAAGTCGTGCGCCTGGTGGTAAGACATGCTTGTCTATAACACTGGCAGTGCTACTCAGAGTTTTAAATCGCAAAATTTTGAGGGACTCTGCCACTGCGCCCGTCG